GAGGCAATTCCTTCTGTCTGAGTCACCCATGATGCCTTCAGAAACCCCTTACCCAAGTATGTCAACTTGTTACAAGCTAGAGTCATCTGAGAGGAAGGAGCCTCAAATGAGAAAATGCCTCCTTAAGATCTAGCTGCAGGCCAGCCTGTAAGACATTTTCTTAATTAGTGATTGATGGGGAGGGCCCAGCCCATTGTGGGTGGTGCCATCCCTGGGCAGTTACTGAGCAAGCCATGGGGAGCAAGCCAGTAAGCAGCACCCTCCATGGCCTCTGCATCAGCTCCTACCTCCAGGTTCCAGCCCTGTGTGAGTTCCTGTCCTGACCTCCTTCAGTGATGGACTTCAATGATGGAGGTGTAAGCCAAATAAACCCTTTCCTCCTAACTTGCTTTGATCATGATGTTTTGTCCCAGCAATAGAAACTCTAACTAGGACACCCAGAAACCCTAATAAACTCATTGGTTCACCAAACTGAGCCTGGGTGTAATTGTTTCTGTTTCTTTTTTTGTTTTGTTTTGTTTTGCTTTGCTTTTGCTTTTGCTTTTGTTTTTTGAGACAGGCTTTCTCTGTGGCTTTGGAGGCTGTCCTGTAACTAGCTCTTGTAGACCAGGCTGGTCTCGAACTCACAGAGATCCACCTGCCTCTGCCTCGTGAGTGCTGGGATTAAAGGCGTGCGCCACCACCGCTCAACTTTTTCTCTTTCTTTTTTGAGTTATCATTTTTAGTTATTTATTTTTTATTTGTGTGGTTTTGTCTGCATGTATGTCTACGTATGACTTGTGTGCAGTGCCCATGGAGCCCAGGAGAGGGCAACAGATCCCACAGAACTGGTGTTACAGACAGCTATGAGCCACCAGGTGGATTCAGTAAACAGAACCCTGGTCCTCTTCAAAAAAGTGCTCTTAACTGCTGAGCTATCTCTCCAGGCCCTTTGATTGTTTTGAAAGAGGTTCACTATGTAGCCCTGGCTGTCCCAGAACTCACTTTGTAGATCAGATTAGCCCCAGACTTACAAGGATTCTCTTCTTCCTCCCACAAGCCAGGATCAAAGGTGTGCTCCACTACACCTGGCTGGGATTGTTTTGTTTCTTTGTCTTGTTTGTTTTCATTTTGGCTACTTGATGCCCTCTCTATCTGGCTACCTTACAGAAAAGTCCATCCTGACATGTGTGGTCCAGGACCGAATAAGAAGAAAATCATAGCCGGGCAGTAGTGACACGTGCCTTTGATCAGGAGGCAGAGGCAAGAAGATTTCTGTGAGTTCCAGGCCAGCCTGGTCTATAGAGCAAGTTTCAGGTTAACCAAGGTTACACAGAGAAATCCTGTCTCAAAAAAAAAAAAAAAAAGAAGAAGAAGAAGAAGAAAACCAAGATACACTAGACTGTGACCCAAAATAAACCCTCCCTCCTTAAATTGCTTCTGTTGGGTGTTTTATCCCAGTTACTAGACAAGTGTCTAATACAGTGGCCATAGCCACCATCCCCCTCCATACATACACACAGGGAACACTGTGGTGGCCAAAGCACCCTTCTTGAGGAGCACCAGATAGACTGGGAAAGTTATCTTTATCTGTGTCTTTATCCCCAAGGCCAGGAAGGGGGTCAGGACTGGATGTTGAGTTCATGCTGCCTGGCTCTATCAGACTTCAAAAAGTGTCATGCTGAGGAGACTCAAGGAGCTGGGGACAAGACTCGGCTGGCAGAGGACTTGTATAAAGTCCAAAGTTCCATCCCCAGCTTGGCACAAACTGACTGCAGCCCCTCTGTCATCCCAGAATACGGATCAGGAGTTCAAGGCCAGCATGGGATATATTACAGGAAGAGGGTGAGAAAGGAAAGGGGAGGAGAAGGGAGGGGAGGAAGCAGACAAGTTGGCTCAAGAAAGGAATGGAAGACCTAGGGGAGCATTTGCTGTGAGCCACCCTAACAGAGAGCTGGTACCTCCCTGTCTGAACTTGTTTGGTGATGTCAGGAGGTGACAGACCCCACCATGCTCACAGACAACTTTCACAATAATACCAAACAGATGGACACAGATCCCCAAGCATGTACTAGAACAATCCATAAACATACATGCATAACCTTTTGGGGGCTGGGAGATAGGATCTCACTATGTAGACTTGGCTAGCCTGAAAATCTCTAAATAGACCAAGCTGGCCTTGAGCTCAGAGATCTGCCTGTCTCTGCCTCCCAAATTCTGGGATTAAAGGCATGTACCACCATGCCCAACAAACTTTTTTTTTTTTAAAGGACCGGGTCTGCAGCCCAGACTGGCCTCAAACTCAACATGTAGCTGAGGATGACCTTGAACTCCTGGTTCTCCTGCTTCCACATCCTGAGTGCTGAAATGACAGGTGTGTGTCACCAACTCAGTTTATGTGATATTTGGTTTGGCTGAAAAGTCTACTCCTTTTCCATATGAAGGGAGGAGCCACTTCCATGGCTGCAGCTCTGTGCACTGGCCATCATAAAGATCTGTGAACTCCCGGTCTGCCTTAGTCTATGATAAGCCACACAGTCATCTTTACTGACTTATCAAAAAAAAGAAGAAGAAGAAGTAAACCAAGATACACTAGACTGTGACCCAAAATAAACCCTCCCTCCTTAAATTGCTTATGTTGGGTCTTTTATCCCAGTTACTAGACAAGTGTCTAATACAGTGGCCATAGCCACCATCCCCCAGCCCTTCCTTGGCCACAAGCCACTTTTGTCCATGTGCCCACTAGAGCCACCTCCTCCCATGGCAAGAGCAGTGGGTTCACTGGCTCTCCATCGAGCCTGCTGGTGTTGCAGGAAGAGACTGAGGAGGCAGACACAGCTCAACACTGACCTCCTCCTCATCTCTGAGAATCCCACTCCCTCTGTTAAGATTAGTACTTATTTTCAGCTTGACAACACAACCCATCACTAGGGAGATTCTAGGCAGGGCTCCACCCTGACCACGCCCTCAGCCCCTCACCGCTGCCGCCAGGCTTCTGATGGCTTCTGAGGACAGGTAACCATTGTCTCCAGTGTTACACCCATTGATGCACACCAGGATGCAATAGCTAAGTCCAAAGGTCACACAAGCAACCCTGGTTAATCTCACTGGGTGGCAAGACAAAAAGCCGTGGATGTAGGATAGGGAAATGTAGAAAAGAAGAAAGCTTTGACAAGAAGGGAAAGGAGAAAAGAGAGAATGGGGTGAGGGATAAACGGTCAAGGAAGGAAGTTAATTAATTAAAAAAAAATCTGGGTGGGAGTGGGGTGGCTGTAGAGATGGCTCCGTGGTTAAGAGCACTAACTGTCAAAGGACCCAGGTTCAATTCCCAGCACCCACAGGGCAGCTCACAACTATCTATAATTCCAGTGCCAAGGGATCTAGAGCTACATGCACAAAATGTACAGACATACATGCAGGCAAAACACCCATACACATCTAAATAAATAAATAAATAAATAAATAAATAAATAAATAACAAAACATGAAGACTGGAAGTTGGGGAGATTGGGGAGGTGGGGTGGATGAGGGGAATCTGACTAAGGGAGGAAGGGAGGGAGGAAGGGAGAGAGGGAGGGAGGGAGGGAGGGAAGAAGCCTCAGTCCTTAGCCAGCTGACAATATCACAATTGAGTCTGCAGTGAGCGAGAAACAGCACGGTGGGGCCAGGACCAGTATGCATGAGGCCCTAGATCCCATCTCCAACACCATATAAACCCAGGACATGGTGCACACCTGACATCCTAGAACTTGGGAAGTAGAGATCAGGAGTTCAAGGTTGCCCTTGGCTACTTATCAAGTGAGAGACAGCCTGGACTACATGAAACCCTATCTCAGATTGGGAGGGGGGCTGTGGAAATGGCCAGGTGGATGAAATTACCTGTTTATGAGGACCTGAGTTCAAATCCCTCAAAACTACATAAAAGCCAGGAACACAGCAAGGAGTATGTGTGACCCCAGAGACCCACGGAGGGTGGGAGGTGAAAGCAGAAGAGCCCCTAGAGTCTGGCAATCTGTGGCCAGCAAGAACAAGGACCCTGTCTGGAACACGATGGAAGATACAGACCGACACGCATGGCTGCCCTCTGGCTTCCAAATGTGCTTAGGCAAACTCGTGCACTCGAAAAGATATTTAGATGTCACTTAGAGGCCAGGGATGTTGTTGATCACCTGTAATCCCAGCATTCCAGAGGCTGAAGACCGGAAGTTCGCGAGTTCAAGGCCAGCCTGGGCAACATAGTGAGTTCCAGGCTAGGCTGAGCTATATAGGAAACCCTCTAATTAAAGAAATAATTATCAAAACTGAAGCAAAGACATGTTGGTATAGGGGAAGTACCCCACTGTTTGTGGGGCCCAGCTGTAAGGCTTAGTCCTCTTGTGTTAGTCTCCAAGCTTTCCTGGGGGTGATAACAATCTTTCAAGAGACCCAAGGGACTTCTAGGGCCTTCCGGGGCTCTTCAGAACAGTCTGTGCAAACGTGGAAGGAAAACAGTAGAAGATTCCAAGAGACATCCTCCCACCCCGACCCCGAACCAGCGGTATCTCCCACATACACCTGACACCATGAAACCAAATCTCGTCTCGGAGATCCCGGGGCTCAGAACCACCACCCTCTGCACCTACACAAAGGTTCTGAGTAAGTGGGGTGGAAGAACTGGAAAGAGGAATGAAGATAAACACTGAGGCAGGGAGGCAGGGGTTGGGTGGGGGTGGGGCACCTCTCTATGCAATCTCTATGAAACCCCAGTGGAGAGGGACGAGAGTCACTGGTGGCACCTGGAAGCTGAAGTGGTGATACACCGGGACCATGAGTTCTCAGAAAAGGTGCTTGCCGAGGGTGGGGGGGGAGGGGGTTTCTACATCTCCAGGCCCTTCCTTGCATCCTCCCTCCATCCCTCACTTGGAGCATCCCAGGCGAGCCCAGGAGGCGGAGCTCGCGGGTGACCCGGCGGTGACGCGAGGACGGCTCCGCTGATATAGAGGCGCCCGAGGGCGCAGAGACAGCTCCGCAGACACCTCATCCAGTCTCCAGAGCCAGAGCCACAGAGGCCGGTCGACACAGGTCCATCAGCAGCTACCAGCAGCGCCACCACCATGCGGGAGATCGTGCACCTGCAAGCCGGGCAATGCGGCAACCAGATCGGGGCCAAGGTGCGCCGGGCTGGGGAAGGGGTGGCGACGGGAGGGTCGCAGAGAGGGGTCTTTGGATCTCCTAAGACTCACCTAGGAATTATGCATCCCAGGGTGGTGGGGGAGGGGAGACAGAGCAGAGCCAGGCCGGGAACAAAGAGGCCGGTGATGGGGGCAGGGCCTGGCCTTGTGTCCCTTGGCCACAGCTGGCCTCACAGCTGGGCTACTGTCACCCTCAGCTGCCTGGCACAAAGAGGCACGGCCCCTCCTCCCAGAGCTGCTGACGGGATGGGCTGGCACCGAGTGGCTCTGATGGGGCCCAGCCTGTCCCTACCCCCACTTCTCTTGCTTCTTGCTGGCTCATGCTTAGCTGTGGCTCTGGGTTCCCCAGTCACCTCTCAGGAGGACAGTCAGCAACTGGAGAAGTGGCTTGAAGGGTGTTCCAGACACAGCCTCTCTCAGTCCTTCCCGACTGTTATTGTGACCCTGTCTGAGCACTTGAGAGGTGGAGGCAGGAGCCCAAAAACAGTCTCACATACACAGTAAGTTGGAGGCTAGCCTGGGCTATATGAAACCCTGTGTCAATACATACATGCTTACATACATACATGCATACTTACATACATACATGGGGCAGTGTGGATCAGAGGGTAGTGCCTTTGTCCAGGTGTTGTGCTACACACCTGTCACCCAGCCACTGGAGACAGGAGTTCAGTATCACCCTAAGCTATCTAGTGAATTTCAGGCTAGCTTGGTCTATAGGAGGCACTGCCTTAAAAAAAAAATTTTAATATATTTTTTAAACAGCAAGTCAAAAAAAAGCTACTCAACCCTTCCCATCACCCATCCCAACATCAAACAAACAAACAATAGGGCAGGCAACATGGCTCCTCCCTACAACATGGTGCTTATGGCCAAGCCCAACAACCCAAGTTTGATGGCCAGGACACACAAGCTGGAAGGAAATAACTGCCTCCGGCAAGTTGTCCTCTGGCCTCCACTCAAGCATGCAGTGTGATGCACACCCCCATAAAATAAACTGTTTTTAAATAACAACAAAAGGAAAATCTATTCAACTTTGCCATCACACACCTCTGTCTAGTTCTGGGAAGTTATCAGTGATGAACACGGCATTGACCCCACCGGGACCTATCATGGGGATAGTGACCTCCAGTTGGAAAGAATCAATGTCTACTACAACGAGGCCACAGGTAAGGTAGCCTTCTGGTGTGGGGGTGTAGGCTGGCAAAAAGGGACAGGATGTGCCCAGAAGCCTGCTGGGCCTGCTGCTCACCCCAGCCATCCTCCATCTGCCATCCCCACAGGTGGAAATTATGTTCCCAGAGCCGTGCTGGTTGACCTGGAACCTGGCACCATGGACTCCGTCCGCTCTGGCCCTTTTGGCCAGATCTTCAGGCCAGACAACTTTGTGTTTGGTAAGTCCCTCTCCAGTGTGGGCACAAAACATGTTTGTTTTCGTTTCTAACTAGCACCAAAGAGCCTATGGTGACTGCAGACTCAGAGGGGACAGGGCAGTTGGGGATTTGATTAGGGACACCAGCCTAGCCTAGGCTAGCCTCCAACTCTCCATATAGCTGAGGTTGGCCTTGAACTATCTTGGGCAGCTTAAGATGACCCTGAATTCCTGATTCTCCTGGCACTGCCTTCCCCAGTTCTGGGATGGCAGGGAGGTTTCTGTGGTTCTGGGAGTGGAGGTCGGGGCTCTGTGCATGCCAGAGGAGCATTGTGGCCCCTGAGCCCTAGCCCCAGCCCTCTGGAGACGGTGGAGTAGGAAGGATGTAAGCTTTAGACACCACACTATTCTCTAGAAGGGCTCTGAGCTCATCTTCCAATTAGGAGAGGAGTTGGTGCACAACCACAGGGCTGGTGTTTGGCAATCTCCATCCTGAGAATGTCAGCTCTGGGAGCAAGCAAGCCGCCCTCTTGTTCCCTACTGCTCCCCCAGCTAGTGACCTGGGGCAAGTGAGTTCCCCCTTTCTGATGGATACAAAGTTTGAGGAAGATAACAGTGTGCCTGTGTGGGTATGGCACACGCAAGGTACTCCCGGAAATGGCTGAGGAGAGAAAGATACAAAAAAGCGAGTGAACCAAAGAGCGTGAAAGCAAAGTCTGTGTGTGTCAGAGAGAGGAGGAAGAGATAAGGAAGGCAGAGAGAAAAGAAAAGAAAGGAAAAGATTAAGAGGAGGCTTGGGGAGTTGACTCAGTTGGTCAAGTGCTTGGTGAGCAAGCATAAAGGTGTGAGTTCAAATCCCAAGCACCCATTTAAAACTACAAACACAGGGATTCATGTCTGTAACCCTAGTTCTGGGGAGACTAGTGACAGGTGAAACCCTGGAGCTCGCTGGCCAGCCAGGCTAGCAATGTGAGAGAGCCTGTCTCAATAATAAATAAAGTGCAGAGAGAGAGGAAGACACCAGACATTGCCTTCCATACACGTGTGTATACACGGGCACGCCCACATGCGCACTCACACAAACCCACGCGCACTCGCAGGCACACACTCTCATACAGGTGACATGGAGCAAAGGCCTGCTGGAGGTGAGGGAGGGGCCGTGTGAATA